ATTTTTAGATGGGTTTTCTAGTCAAAATATAGTTTTATTTGACTAAAACGATTATTAAAATACTTCCTATTAAGTTGCTAGGCATTGCTAGATTAAGAAAAAAATTTGAGCTACTAACATACCATCGCCCGCTTGATTTTTATCGCTAAACAGCTTCAAAATTTCTTCATGAACTTTTTATTTAATAATTTATTAGAACAAAACCGAGATCGAGTTTTTAAAACACATCCACTGGCGCCAGAAAATCGGCAAAATCCTGTAACTTTCCTGGTTAACTAATGCCTTAAATCTTGAGCCGCCCAAAATCCAGATTACGGTGGTTAATTTGTGGAATCCGGGGCCTGTGGGGGTTTCTGCTTTTCCAAAAAATGGAACGTCAGAGCGCGTGGCGGCGCCCAAACTAGGCTAATCGGGCTAATGGATTTCGGTGGGGCGCGCGCAGGAATTTGACGACAGTTATCAGCCCAGACGCCGTCAAAAAAGGGCCGGAAAAATCGACGACAACGTGGTGGAGGAGGACGAGAAAGAATAGGAAGCGCCTCGGAGAAAAGTGTGTTGAAGAAGGAGGCTGGCCGGGCTGGCTGAGAGGCGGCGATCAATCGATGTTGGTGGCTGGCCGAAGGAATGAAGGGGCGAGACGGAGGCAAGAAGGCAAGAGCAAGACGGACACACCGACAAACAGGCCGACTGACGGACAAACGGAGAGAGAGAGAGAGAGAGAGAGAGAGACGGAAGGAAGGACGTGTTCGCCTCACATAAACACTCGCACAACCCCCATTGTCTTCGGGTTACCCCCGCCTTATCCGAAGGCATTCCGTGCGTGCCGAGCACTTTTTAGAGGGCCCTCTCACGGGACAGGTGCCAAAATACGATAGCCTACAAGAAGCGGAAAGGTATTTCGAGAGCTATGCCAGGAATTTGAGGCGGAGAATAGACTGGAATTCAGGAATTCGGGGAACTTTCCGGCTTAAAAACACGCGGAAAGAAAATATAAAAGTTTACAAAACGCGCCGTCTGGAATTCCGTTGCACGTCGGAATTCCATCAGCGAAATTAACTTCGCAACATCGAAATGCGGTACCATTACCCTGGTTTTTGGAGAATCAAAAAATCATACCATAACCCAAACGCGAAAACGATAGAAGGAGATTCATGTTTTTTCCTACTATAGAAACTAAAAAGTACGTATCCTAAAAGATATATATGGTATCAGTTTTTGCGAGTTTTGCCAATTTTTCTATCTTAACCGCTGCGTGTTATAATTTGTTGGTATCTACTTCTATAGAAAATGGTCCATGCTTTTCTTAGGGGTTTTAAACCGGTTCCCTAAAACCACGTTCCGTACGAAACTGGCCTACGAACGAACTAGGCCCCAGCGACCCCAGCCAACCGCTCCCTATAGCGTGCCCCAGCGCCCATAGGCTTCCCTTTCCAAGCATGGCCCAATTCCCCAGAGGCGTCCGGTTGCCGAGAGCTTGTATGATTAGAAATCGGCTTTTCCGTTGTTTTTATTACGTTTTTAATTTCTAGAAAGACCACAAAATTTCAGGTGATCAGTCGATGATGACAAGGGTCGGCTACATCATCGTGCTCGTCTTCTTCGCGCTCTCCATGCGGGACGTCTTCACCCGGGAGCACAACCACGACGAGGACGAGCACGACGAATTCCAGAAGGAGTTTGGGGATGAGGTGCGTACAGGGTTTTACATTGTGATTTAAAGTAATTTTTAGACTATCAGAATTTTTGGCTGTAGCATTTTCAAGTAAAGAACATGGCTTGCCTTTTTGGTGAAAGTGTATTTATACAACCTTTATAACCTGTATTTTTCAGGATCACGGATATTCTGAGGGCACTGAAGACGAGCACATCGAGGTCCGGGAGCAGACGCAGTTTATCCAGCCCAAGCCGATTCTCGGTAACAAGGAGCTGCCGCCGTTGAAGTTTTCGTTCTGGTGAGCTGTAGCTTTACGATCCGCTTAAAATAGTTTTCAAGGACTAAAAAAGTAATAGGATTGTCTAAATCTATTTTTTTCTATTAAATCTAGTATCTTTTTAGCGTCTCCTGCGGCTACCGTCAAGCCTTCGATCAGTACTCCCAAATCGTGCGCGAGAAATACCCGAGCATCCAAATCGACGGCGAGAACTACCCGACGGCCGCGTGGAAGGGCTATTTTGCTCAGGTATGGACTTAATTTCACTAAAAACTATATTTCTTGTACTTTTAGTTCCTCGGCATCTTCAAGATGATGATGATCGCCTCCGTCATCTCGGGGTCGAACCCGTTCGAGCGGATGGGCTTCGGGTATCCCGGCGTTTTGCAGTGGGCTCATGGGAACAAGGCAAACAATTACGTACTTACACTAACAACTTTTGTTATAGCTCTCCGCCTGCATGATGATGTTCTTGTTGTCAAATATGCTTGAGAACTCGCTGCTCTCCTCCGGCGCTTTCGAGATCTACCTCGGGAATGTGAGAATTCTAAGCGTAATTAGAAATTATGATTTCTAGGATCTCATCTGGTCAAAGCTCGAGTCTGGACGCGTGCCTGCACCCGCTGAACTTATGCAGGTAAATACGATTATTTGATGTTTAGCAAAGCTCGTTTTTAGATGATCGACTCGCAGTTCGAACTCCAGGGCCTCATCGCACCGGCCAGCGGCGGTTTCTCCACCGGCTTCGATCAGGAATAATTCGTATGTCGCTATGATCATTCTCCCCCACTTGCTCACCGGGTCGCCGGAGCCTGATTTTCAACAGATCTTTTCGCACCGTAACGTGTATCTTTTTTCGCAGCTCGATGCAAAAGCCCAATCCCCATTTTTGTCATTTTCACGCCGATACGGCCAGTAACGTCAAAAGTATTGAATCGTCGCTCCTTTTCTCTCGGCACGGGGTATTTTCATTTTTTTTTTGTTTGTTCTAGCAATTTTCCTCGATACATTCCTTTTTGTGATAGTAGGCATTCGATGGATTGCGCTTTTTTAAATTCGCCTCCAGCCTCCGGATATCAGCCAAAACTTTGTAGGATGCCAAATCTCATGTGGTTTCTGTTTCTCGTCGCGTTTTGATAAATATTTATCGTTGAGATGGGCTGGGCTGGGGTTTGAGAAAGAAAGTGTGTTATGGCAGACCTGTGAAGTTGGGAATGACTTAGAAATATCGGTTTTCGTAGGGGTTATGGCTTTTTGGTTGCATTTTTCGTTAGCCAATCGGGTACTCCTTTTGAAGTGACGACTACTTGGCCGTTCCAATAGTCGTAGTCCTGAAAAAACTCAAATTTTGTCGTTTAGAAGTAAAAATAAGATTCGCACTTCTTAATAGGTGCAGGTTAATTTTTTTGGGCCAGAACATCTGACAGATTTTTAGTGAAACTTACGACAAAACAGCAAACACACGTGTCATATGGATAGCACATTACTTGGCAGCATGCTTGAGGAATCGGGCCTTCAGGAAGAACACCTCTATAACTTCATTTGTTTTACTTCCGGCTCCCTTTAAATGAAAATATCTGATTCTGCTTACTTCCTCGGCTTCATCGGCGGCAATAACATGGCATCAAAAATTGGGAGAAGCAGCGACAAGCCTATCATCGCGACGAAAAACCGCATTTGGCAAATCTGGAAGGCGAAAAATTTCCCAAATTTTACAGGGGTCTCCCAGCCAAAATCAAATGCACATACGCACACCTCCTATCCCAGAATTTTTAATGTGTTTTTGGCACGCGGGAGTCAGGAGGAGAAGGAGGAGGAGGAGGAGAAGTGCGAGACTGGCGGAGGGTTTTCCGGAAACCCCCGACCATACACGGGGTCCCTGCTGCGAACATTTGAGAGATCGGGACAAATATGGCGCACACGAGTTTTTCGAGGGCCAGCCCCGCGATGGGTTAAACGATATTGATCTGCGAAGCGGATGGACGCACGGTTGGGTAGACGCGCAAACACGGAAAGGGGCAATAAATAACGGCGTGTGAGTGTGTGTGTGGTGTGTGCCCTTTCATAATGGACGAGGTGATCGGGGTGGTGTTGACGGCAGAGTACGACCCTCGCGATTTTCAACATTTAGAGATCGGGCCGGGTCCAGGAATCGAAGGCTTCTAAATGTTTGACTTTCGAATCAAGTGAGTAACCGATCGCCAAACAGCCGAAAATTTCCAAGGGTTTTGCGATGCCTCTTGTTCTCGGAATTCCTTCTACCTGCCGAAACCTAAATTGATTTCCTCTAAACCCTGCTCGGCACTTTCCAAAAGCTCCACAAAATTTTATAAGTTAGGCACATATTTATTTCACATATAATATTTGTCGTAAAACGATCAATCCCAGGGTACATGCAACAGAATAGAAAATATTAAGGAGACTGTATGGGGGTAGGGTAGTTGGGGTGTGGAGGGAATTGACTCGCTTTGGGCGGAGAAAGCTAACGTTCTAGCTGAACCAATGAGCATCACAATCGATTGTTATCCAGGCTAACCGTAGGGCATTAGAAGACGATTCTCAGCCGTCGCCGGGGCGGGGATCATCAGACCTTTGCAACAGCAAAATAGACGGGATCTCGACACCGCGACTTTTATGTTGAGCACAGGCACTAATGGTAGGATTGGACCCGCCGCGATAGGGGATGCGAATCGAATGAAATCGTTCGTTTTTGAATCCCCTATCCGCGGCAAATTTCGATATAAACACGGCCTATTAGGGTACTTTCACACCAAAAATTGCAAATTGTAAGCTGGGCGAGAGGAAGAGATGGTCACAAGGCGCAATGTGGGTAGCAAGAGCACTGAAATTACCAGACCGACACGTAGTTTGCGTTAAAGACTTGCGGTTTGTTGCTTTTGGATGTACAAGATTTTCGGTGGAATAGAGGGAGGGCGAACGTCGTAGAATGGGTAGCTTTTTGACAAGTGGTTTAGACCCAGGGTTTTTTGATTGACACGGGCAAAAACAGGACAAGGGGTACGAATAAGACGTGAAAGTAATGTGGTAGGCGAATTTTAGAAAGATCTAAAATGGGGCACAGGCTAGGCCTTCATCTCCTGGATCTGCTTGATGAGTAGGCCTTCTCGTCGTTGAACTGCTCGTCCTCGGTCCGGTCGTTGTGGAGTTGGAGAGGAGTCGGTGTGCTTTGTCCTTGGGATTCCGGAGCAGGATGTCGGCGATTGGGCGCGGCTTGTTGGGGTTGGCGACGAACGCCTGGAATTGAGGGTATTCATGCGTGAGCTGTTTTCTTGAGGTCTTGGGTATTCTGGGAAGGAAAACATGAGAACGTTTTTGACCGGAAATTTGAAGTTTGCGAAAAGTTAATTTTAGATGTCTTTACTTGAATACTACCTCAGCACTATTTATAGACAAAATAAGTAACCCAATCAATGCCAAAAATTACCTTGAAAACGTGGAAAGCTCAAACTGGATGCTCTTCGACTTTTCCCCCAGCAAATTCATCATCAGCTTCAAATTGTCGGGGTTGGAGATGTACCGCGTCATCACGTTGAAGTTATGCCGGTCGAGGAGAAGCTCGCCGAGGAGCTAAAAGAAGATAAAAAAACGGCTAAATAAAGATAAACCTTCAACGACTGTCTCCGGGACACATAGTTCTCCGAATTCAACAGCTTCTGGTATTCACCGAAGAATTTGTCGTAATTGGTGTCGAGGAACTCGGCGCAGAGGTTCTTGTGCTTTGTGATGAGATCCTAAAAACCCGGAATTAGTCGACCGAAGGAAAAGCGGCTTTTTCCTAGGAAGGATCATGATAAATTACCTTCTGAATGTGGAGAAGGCATCCGAGGCAATATCAAACGACGCAAACCCTCGACGTACGTGAAAAATTTGTAGAAAGTCTCGTGTTGGAGCAGGACCTGAACATAAAAAATAAGAGTTCGCCGGAATTATCGCACCTTTGCCAAATGATCATGTCGAATACATTCTCGAAGCATGGATCCACACGTCGAGGCAATGTCCGGGACTTCGTAGCTAAACAATATTTTTCATACATTGACAAGAGGCCGCAAAGTGCTCAAAGGAAAAACAGAAGAGAAAAACTCACCCATTCACCAGGGTGATCAACATCTCTGGCCGAGCACACAAATAGTATTCCACTGTGTGGGTGACCGGGTGCCGATTTGCGCCGCGGAGCAGGTTGTTGAAAATTTGGCCGACGTCCTGAGAAAAAA